AGCACCACCAAGCATATCCCAAAATTCAAATGCCTGCAGCTCAAAAACTGTAAATGCACCAAATAAGCAAGAAAACATGTGAGCAAGGAAGATGGAGAAGGATCCAAGCTCTTCCAACCCCTCATCCTGAAATGCATAAAACAAATAAGGAGCCACGGTCCTGCCCAGGACATAGAGTGAAAATATCGTAGAAATTTGGAGCTATGACCCTCCATAACGGAGTGATTAAAACCATTCACCAAAAAAATGTAAAGCTGGAGCAATAAGCTAAACCTCCAGTAACCATTCTCAACAGTATCCCCATTAAATAACTACAATAAATCTCATATGTCAGATCTCCACATAAACCCCCCCAGACTATCACCTGATCAGCAGAACGGTCTGAAGTGAAATAAAACAAGTTTTAAGCTTATCATCAAAAAGATACTCGGGGGGGGGAGGGCAAACAGTTAACAAAATAAGATGATCAACATGCATCACTAATACAACATCATTTTAATAAAGTTTGAAAAGAATAACATATGTGTAGTTAGAGCAACATTACAAAAGCAAATACACTACAAACATTAAAAGGAAGAGTAAAACACTAATTGACGTCAACATTCTACTCTGCCTCTTCATTGTCATTGAAGAACACCTTATTCAGTTCACTCTCGATATCATCACCATCAAAACCTGAGGAAGGGTCCTCTGAGTGAGCCCCTCAACAACAATCCCGGTTTGACGTTGTGTCACTCGACTCCCCTTCAAGAAATCCCGGATGAATCCTTCTTCGGTGAACCACTTCTGTTGCTTCTTTACCTGAACATCAAGTACACGATCACGAACTGCTTGGACATGGTCTCGAATTATAGTTTTGAACTTAAGCGGTTTCATGAAGTTTTCGACCGTTTTACGTTTAACTTCTGAAACATCAACATCTTTTGCAGACCTCAAAAGTCGGATCTCTTCTTCTTGGACTAACATCGCCGATTTATGGGCTTTCACGCTCTTTTTACTTTCACGAAGGCTAGCTCGTGCTTCCACCAACCTCTCCCAAGTTTTCTCCAAATCATGAAGTTACAACGAGAGGGAGGTTGCTATTGTTGAAAGTTCCGTCCTACACTCTATCAACTGTGATTCCAGAGATGTAATTTTTTCAAACCCAGATTCATACCGACACTTGTACTCGTCTTCAAAATATTTAATCTTAACGAACTCAGAATTTCAGTTTCTAAATGCAAGTCTTGGCCCCTGCTGGTTTTCCACCATTTTATCCACCTAGAAGAAAAGAAATATGGGTTAGAGAGATGAAATAATTATATAGTAGCATAAAATGAAAGAAACTTATAAAACTCTTGGCTTCTAGGAGTCCAGTACATTCATGAGACAAGATATTTTCAGGAACGTGAATAGTTGAAGGGTTTGGCAAAAGCTCCTGTGATGTTTCAACTTTCTTCTGTTTCTGAGACAGTACTTCACATTCCCTGCTCGTTGAAAGCCTCTTTAAGGATTCTGCGAGGGCTGGATCGGAAGGTCTCTTCTTAGATTTCTTTAGCGCTACAGTTGTTGACCGTTCGGGGTGGAAAGAATGTTTGACCTTAAACAATGATTCCTCGCTCACAAATTCGTAAATATACTACATCTCAAACAATAGTTTTTTCATGTCACAAAATCCCAGCATCTGCAATATTCTCTCTTCGATAGTCTGAAGAGAGACAAACAATTATTGAAACTTTCCTCGCCTCTCGCGGCGCCTCTCGCCTCGCCTCTCGCGGAGCCCCCAATCATTTTTTGCAAAGAAAAATTTTACGAATCATTGTCTTATCGGTTCCTTTAGACGGAAATCCAACGCTTTCTGCTTACACAACACATGATCATGCATATCAGTAAAAAGCTCACATAGTCGTGCCAAAATTGCCGGTTTTAACTTTAACCCGTGACTTTTAAAAAAAAACTGTCAACCCAATAATGACCGTCGCCACTCGACAAGATAACTGAGCAACTCAAACCCGTAACGCCTTCATAATTTCAATAAACTTGAGTGCTGGAGGAAATCGTGGGCAACTTTCAAGGCAGCCTCATAAATAGTAACATACCGAGAGGTGAAGAATAAGTTCGATCAGTTGAAGTTGGTAGCTTCACTATCATATCATTCAGGAAGAAATTTTTCTTTCAAAAAAAGATCAATTCGTTCTCCGTCACAGTTGACACTGCATCCTCTGAGTACTGACTTTTCCTTACATTCTCAGCAGAACGAGGTTCTCCAGCCGTCGTCATTTCATTAACGTTTTGCAGCGACGCTTCACCGCAACGCTTTGCCGCGACGCTATACAACGTTGCTTCGTCACTACGCGTCATCGCAAACTCTACACCGCAACACTTTGTCCCAACGTTTCGCCGCAACTCTTCGCTTCGTCGCAACGCTCCGCCTAGCCGCAACTCTTCTCCACAACTTTTCTCCGCAACTCTTCGCTTCGCTGCAACTCTCCGTCTCACCGCAACTATTTGTTTCGCTGCAATTCTTCACTCCGCCGCAACTATTCTCCGCAACGTAGGTAACTTTCTCCTTCTCCACAATTGTGATTTTTCTCCTCATCCAATGTCTCTATTTATAGGCTCCAAAAAGAACTTAATCATTAAATGCACATTATTAAAAAATAATAAATAAAAAAAATTTCATTTCATATTTTTTCAATTTTTTAGCCTTTCAAATTCTATCTTTATGGCTGAAATTAATTAAAATTAAAATAGCAAATAATTAAAATAAATTAATAAAAAACTCTTCACATTCTGTGATTTGAAAAATATACATTTAAATGTTTATTTTGGATTAGAATACATCTTCAGCTTCCATAGCCCACTTTAGAGCTTTGGATTTTCTTAATTAATTAAGAGTTGTTTCGCTACTTCAGCTCCATAGCCCGCTTAAGAACTGCTTCAGCTCTCCATATTCTAATTAATTAATTAATTAATTAAATTCAGTTTATCCCTTCGGATTCCCAGCTCGCGCTTCAGGTTCCGCCGGTCTAGTTCCCAGATCTCGAGTATCGGACGGTTCAGATTCAAGCTCCCGGGTCGTGGGTTTGGCCCGTCGAGTTCCCAGGTCTCGAGTTAGGCCCGCCGAATCTCGGACGGTCCGGATTCAGGCTTTCGGTTCTCGGATTCGGCCTGGCTTACAGACCCTGGTAAAAAAAAAAAATTCTTTCTTTAAGGTGGGATTTGAACCCTCACCGCCTGCAAATGACAAAAAGCACTCACCAACTGAACTAGGCTCAACTTATTAGTATAGTAAGGATAAATATTATTCTTATTTACATACTGATAGCAATAAAGTATATATCTAAATTTTTTGTCTTTCATGAAAAGTCTATGGATCTTAATATTTTAGGACGAAAAAAAAAGGTTTCGCCTGAAAATAAGGGAGCAACTGATATTCCACCAATAAATTTTCATCATCCGACACGAATCTCAAGGCAATTTTTTGAACAAGAAACTTTTAAACTTCTATTAAGAGTCGTCCAGAGCTCCGATTTCAGCAAACTTATAGTCAAATTGATCGGCTCGATGAAACAGACCTAATGATATGAAAGTCGGTCAAATCCAAGTCAAATCAAGCCAATATCAAATCATTAAACCACCCTTGGAGGACTTCCAGAGGTATTTGAAAGGTCAAACGGATGTCGAATCTAGCGAGTTCATAGTTGATTCGAGCATCTTGACAAAACAAATCCAGCGAGCACAAGATTGTTCAATTTTGACATCGTTAAGGCACTCAAATGTCCATCAAACATCATATGATCGAAGAAAGCTCTCCGGACCGTCCGATCAAAATAATTCATATTTCTGCATTAATTACACCCAAAACATTATAAATAGAGCTCTGCCCTTCACATGAGAGGGAGAGAGGCTTGAGAGAGAACTTTAGGTTTTAAGAAAGAGCTCAAATCCAACATCATCTTTGTCATCGTCGACATTCGTCGACCACCACTGATCGTCGGCGACCACCGCCAACCTCTGTCGACCACCATCGATTACCGCCGATCACAGCTGACCTCCGTCAACTACCGCCGACCGTCATCGACTATCATCAACCACCGCTAACATCCTTCGACCACCACCGATCATCGGCAATCACCGTCGACCTCCGTCGCACCGCCGACCACCATCGACCACCGTCGATCATCACTGACCGTCCTCCACCGTCGATCATTGCCGACCACCATTGACCGGACACCGTCAGACAACGCTGTAATCTGAAAATCTAGTAATCATTTCCCGTCTGTGGGACAAGGGCTCGCTATAATCTTCAACATATAGTGGATTTTTATAATTGGGTCAGGCTCCATAGTTTTTTCACTTTACGGGTTTTCCACGTAAAAATTTCTGGTGTCATCACTGTTTGTTTCACTTTCATCTGAGTGTGTGATGAATTCTCGTACACGCTAAGACGATAATCTATTACTCTACCGTCGCAAATGTTCTAGCACGCATCATTAATTAATTCATTATAAGCAAGTATTTTTTGTATAAATTAAAGAACCAACTGTCAAGCTTAAAGTTGCTAGACAACCCTACAACCATCTTTTTTGATATACCTTGACCGCCAATTTTTACAAATAGCTAATTGGACGATTGAAAACTGGTTTCAAGTTCATGGAAAACGGTTATCTGAATCAAATGTTAAGCATTATGACAAGTCTCTTAGCTTCGACATGAAGTAAAGTCCTAGAACTGGGACCACTCCACTTTGCAACAAGATCTATACTGAATTGAAAGCAATCCTTTGTAAGTGGCAAGCCCCATAACTCATACTTTCATTCCTTGATAAGATTCGCATTGAGTAGAAAGAAAAGCAATTTCTAAAGAAGACGGACAAGGTTACCCTAATAAAGACAATGTGTTGGGAAAAAGGAGAGGCCTATCCAAGACATTAAGCCAGAAAACATACAAGTCAGCTCTTTAAAGCCAAAAAGAAAGAAAATAAAAGCACAGAAGGCAAAATCAAAAATTTGTCTTACTGCCCTCCTCGCTTCCACTGGAGCATACTAGTGAAGTCTCATCATTAGTTAGAAGGATGAAGAAATTCTTTGATTCCTTAATCCTCATCATTAGATGATTGAACTTAACGAGATTTGAGGCAGAATTTTTCTCGCTTCTTATACTCGCAAGTAAGAATGCATGCCGAGTTACTGTTGATATTGGGTAAAGTGAGCCAAAACATCGGCGGAAGAAGACAGACGAGTCTCCCCACGCTCCGCATTTTACTCCCTCAAAACTCAGATAGCTTCGTCAAGCTGCCCAGCCCATAAATGGGAGTCCTCCAGTTCATATCTTATCTTCCTAGTTGTCTCTTTCGCTAGATCTAAGACCGCATCTTTAGACTCTCCTCGAGGGCAACAACTTCTTTTCCAAAGCACGACTGCTTGCCTTCTCCTCTGTAGTCTTTATGAGACACTACATCCCAGATTTGGGGGATGCTATCAATGCCGATTTCTTCGGTCTATGCTGCTGCTCCACATTACAGCTTGCTAGCATGAAAATTGTTAGCATTCTCATTCATGGTCGTAAGGTGAAGCTCATCTTCAGGAATGAGATCAAGCTCGCTGTAAATCATCTCCATTGAGAGAAGTCACTTCTCTGAGCTGCGCAGAATGATCTGACGATAGAGAGATAGTCCTCTTGTAACCTCTTGTGACTTGTAACTGCATTTAATACGCAACATCTCAAAATGTACACTGCTTTGTTTTTTGTTCTTGGTCTTTTGTAATTTAAATCAACTTTATGCTGATATTACAAACTTTAATTTATTTTTCATAACAATTTCAATACAATAACACAACACCACTTTCTTTAAATTGTAAATGTTAACAACATGATAGTTAGTGCATTTGTATTTAAAAACTCTAAATCATCTCCACCCCAGGAACAAACCAATTGCACGCCAATATCAACCCAAAACTATAGTAATACCACCCTAATAATATATTCTCCTAAAGCACAAGTATCACTTCGATGCCACCCCAACAATATCTTGGCCAAAAACCTCCAATAGTATATCAATACCGCTCCAATACCAAGTCAATAATATTTTCTCCCAAAACCCACAATATCACCCAATTACCAGCCTAATATCACCCCAATACTATCTAAATACAACCTCAATAATATCCTGACACAAAAGCCCCAATAATATCTTGACACAAAACCTCAGCATCACTTCAATGCTACATAAATATCATTTAAATATCAACTCAATACCACCTCAATAATATCTTCTCCCAAAACCCACAATATCACCTCAATATCACTTCAATATCACCCCCATACTACCTCAATAATATCTTCTCGCAAAACCCACAATATCATCTCAATACTTCTACAATAAAAACTTGGAACAAAACTTTCAAATACCACCCACAATATCACTTCTTAAGAGTTAAAATGATGGTATTTTTGATCTGATATAAAATATTTGAGTAGTATAGATGTAAAAAGTAAAGTTTCAGTGTTAGAAGTGTATATACATATGAATTGGATGGTGTGCATATAATTGCTACAAAAATAATTTGGTGAGAAAAAATTTTCAAATATATTTGTCCATGAAAAAAATAATGGAGAAATGTATTTGAAAATTTCTGCAGTTGATTCTAAACTGACGCAAAATGAGAGCTTGCACCTCTGTCTAGAAGTCATTTTTGTGTAGAGGTGTTGTTTGCCATGAACACCTGCTAATTTGTTGTTTGATATGACAAAATTGGACCTATGTCGCATTTGGTTGTTGAATGGCATGTGTTTTTGTAGATTTGACATACAATATGAGTGTGGTTGCGAGTGTCAAAACTTCTAAAATAAGGGAATGCTTTGTTGCTTGTGTTTGTCGGAGTGAACTTATGGTTATTGTTGTGTCGAGGACCTCAAGGTAGGCTATTGATGGACGGTAAGGCAGTATGAGGACTAGACTAGTGATCATTTGTAGTTCACGCTAAGCATCCACAGTGATATCGGTTTTTGTGCTGCATAGAAGCAAGTAGAGGTCATCTAGAGGTATTAATTGGATATTTATTCAGGTATTGGTTTTGAAAACCTTATAAGATGGTAGTAACTTATTTAGGGAAGGGGTTGTTTCGTAGCACTCTATTATCTGAATTTAGTCATGGGACTTACTAAATCTAGCCAAACATAAAAAAGCAAAAGTTTTATGGATTTATGAAATTTATGATTTAAGCTCTAAATTTTACCCTCAATTCATGTTAAATCAGGATTTAATGAATCCAAAAAAAGGGGTGGATTTAATAAATCTATATTTACTAAATCCTACTAATGTTAAATCCTTCCTACTACCAAACACCCACTACACCAGATGATGTCCTTGATCTTAGACTTGGTTCTGACAACAGCGATAGCATCAACCCTAGACTTAATTTTATACAAATATTGAGTCATGGTAAGATGCTTCATGGATATGTATTGAAGATCATTTTTAAGCGACATTATAAAGGATCAATTGGTAGTTGGATCTGATGCTCGATGGTTGTCCAAATACTTTTCCTTGAGTCAATATTGAATACGTGTGGTAGTAGTGATAGGGAAATTGTGGAGTACAACATTGCGGTTAAGTTTTGGTTGATGAGGAACGAATGATGATAATTTGGATTTTGTTGGATGAATCCATCAAGAAGTAGGTGAGGAAGGAATTTAAGTGTCGATCCATCGAGATAACCATCTACGATGTTTATAATGAATAATTTAAGGATTTTAGATTTTCAAGTGGGGTGCTTTTCTAGAGTAAATTGGGTGTTGATGATAGTTTTGATGTTGTTTATGACAAATTTCAGTTGTGGATGAATGGTAAGAGCACCTATTTTGAATGGTTTGGTATCACTCTCCTAAAATATGGCGTTAGATGAATTTTCCGATTTGAACGGGATTTAAGACGACAAAAGAAAACCTAGAGAAAGGTTGACTGAGAGGAAGTTGTATGTTTAGGTGGTTCTAGTGGGATGCAACTCTAACGTTATAAAGAAATTTTAGAGATGATGAAAAGTAGAAAAATACGAAGATAAATCCTCTATCTTCTTTCATTTGTTGTGGCAATCTATTTATTACATTTTGTTTCTTGTAGGTAGCATACATAGACATGTGCTTAGAGAGTTATTAATTTTTCCAGAGCATCAAATGACTGAACTAAATGCATTTGTTCAAGAATGGTTGGTTGAGTTGCAGTGCTAAATGAAGAGTGAGGCCTTGATCCTATTTTATGTGATTTATGTCATCACCTTCCCTCGATAATGTTCAAACCTTTTGACTTGATTCTTCTTTCAAACCCAAATTCAAATATGCTTATGACACTGTTTAAACCCATTTTAAATTAGATTCAAACTTAGATTAATTCAATGTCAAGCATATTCAAACTAACTTTAGTCTTTTTTTTTTTACTTCAAAATTAGTCGTGAATATAACAAAATTTCCGCATAAAAAATGCAAAATTTACATATGTACCACTCAATTCATATGCATTTACATATCTATCAGCCAAATTTCATTTTTTACAAGCATAACATCTTACCTATGCATGAATAAGTGTATTTCACTTTCTACCAATAAAAATGATGGTAATTTTGGTATGAAATAAAAGATTTGGATAGTATGAATGTAAAAAAGTAAACTTTTAGTGTTAAATATGTAAATACATATGAATTAGATGGTATGTACGTAGATGCCCCAAAAAATAATTTGGTAAAAAAGATTCAAATATATTTCTTCGTGAAAAAAAATGAAGATATTTGTCCCAATAATTGTTATATGACTCTTATTAAGGGTGCATTTAGGGCGGTGGTGTTATTGCACCATACGGTGGTGTTTGGCCAAAATTGTGGTCAGCCTATTTTTTCATAATTTATAATAGGAAGCCATGTTTTGCAATATGACCTTGCCAAGGGTTTGCTAGTGGCAACTACAACTACATGAAAAAGCTATTGCTCGGTAGCTATTCAAGGAAGTTGTTGTGGGGAAGTTGTTTATGTTTGTATCGTTCAATTATGCAATTGTTGTTTATTAAATGAATATTTTTTTTTCAGTATTATTGTGTTGTTTGTAGGATAATCATTTCATTGTTAATAACTCATACATTAAAACATAATTTCAATATCTTCAAAAGCTCATAATTCATATATTTCATCTAGAAGTGACATCTTACTCATTAGTGACTAACAAAATAATTAAAATAAAAAATATAATATAAAAATAAAAATTAATATTATCAAAATATTAATTTGAAGTGAAGAAGAACAATCCTATTTGATAACTTCATCTCCAAAAATACTTTCCACGCTTGATAACTATCTAAAGTACAATTATCAAATTGATCCGCTCACCTAAAAAGTCATAGTTCTTTGTTGATATATTCTTTGGACACCTGTAAGTCTTTCTTCCATTGCTATTTTCTCTTCATGACATAAGTTGAAAACACTGTAATCCACGGTTGCAATACTAGGCTCTAGCAGCTTCAGATGTCATCGAGCTCATTTTTACTGAAAGTTGAAAATCACAAATATAAAATTAGTTTACCTTAATAGTACAATGATAGCGTTATATGAAAAATTAATTAATAAGAATAATAAACATATATAGATAAAGATTTATAAAATCAAAAAATCTCGGAGCAAAGATAAACACATGAATCATCTGTCATTATAAGAAGAGAAAGACCTTAAAGAAAGGGGAATATTATTTCCTTTAATCCATGTAATATCGTGCTTTTATGAGTCACAAAAGCATATCAGCACCAAGGTCCTCTAGAAGAACCCAAACAATCATATGATTGAAAATGAAAGAGATATTGGTTTCTTTGATATCGATCTCATATATGTCAAAATTTGTAGTAATATAAAAATCATCTAAAAGAAACTGTAAGTTCAAATAAGTCATTCTAGATCTTCAAATACAAAAGAACATAAAAAAAAACATATATTACACTCATGGTTGTCTACGAGGCCATCCAAGTGGGATAAAATACATACTAATATAATGAAAAAAAAATCATATCATATAAGCTTCACACACATTAACTATTGCATGGCAGAGCGGCTCTCACAACATAATCATATCATCATCACCCTCTCCATCCTTCATACTAATGTCACCTTGATAAGAATTATTTTGTAATATGGACTCTCCCAAGCGGCACTCATATGCTTCTAGAGGAAGTACCAACTAATATTCACTAACAACATCAACATCATTGTTAGATGTTGTAGGATGCTGATGAATATAATTAAGGAGAGCTGTTGTTGCAGTCACAATCACACCTTGTTTTCTCAGTGGATATGCGTGCATGTCTCAAAGAATCATCAAATTTTTTTCTCACACCCTAAATATTCCCTTAATGACACTAGATATAAAAGAGTGTAACTTGATAAAAATTTCTTTTCTTCCTCAAATAGCTTCATTTTCTCACTCAAAATCTTGGAGGTAATATCTCGTGCTTTGATATAGCAAAAAAAACCCATGTTGTAGAGGATATCCAACATTAACAACATAATATTTTACTTCATATGAAGAAATATCATCACACATCAGCTTAAAAGCAATGAAAATTTTTTGTTTAGGTTCTCTAAACTCGAACAACGTAGGAAAATTATAATTGTTATTTCGCACAGCAAAATATAAAATCAGATTGTCGTGTATTATAATGGCTATTTCACACAACAATATATAAAATCAAACTGTCATATACACTTTCTTCTCATTCAATCATTATAAAGGTGAAACACACGTTAAAGTCACATGCATCCATAATATTTTGTGTAAGTGAGCTACATCTATCTTAAAATATGACATGTTTCTAGGATCATTCAAAAAATTTATGGACGTGCTTTGAAATGTACGACCCTCTAGTGTACTATTTTAAGAAAACAAACTAACCAAAGTGTCCAAGCTAATCGAGAAATACCTACCAATAATTTCTAATGAATGCTGCAATCGCTCCATGACTGACCTGTTTTGACTCATTCTATGATAGATTGTATAAGGTTATCACTAAAACCTCTCCTAAAGTCTTTCTAGAGGATCTATGAAGACCATGATTTTTATGTTACTCCTCCAAAATATCTAAGAAAAATTCTTGGGGCATACTGAACGTGTTGTGCAATCTAATTAGATGACCCATAACTAACTCTGAATCTATTTGTTTCCTATGTATGATGATGTAATGCAAGTGTACACACAATAAATGAGTTATAGCAGTCATATATCAGGCATATGACTACTGTGATTTTTCTTTTTAGATGAAAATTTTAGAACTATTCATCATTTATCTAAAAATAATAATTCATTATCGATAAAATGATGAAAATACATCAAATAAACAAATCTCACAACAAACATAACAATGAGTAAATGTAGAGAATATATAAAATTAGTTCAATGTAGTGACGACATAAATAAATATTACATTCAACCATTACAATTATGTAATATAGCCTACGTTGAGGCTCTAAACACATGAAAACTCCCTCTTTATTGGATCTTCCAACAACTTAATGACATACAAATATAGAGAAATATTTTCATAAACTTCTAGTATTCCTCGTAGTATTTTCATAAGTGTTGAAATAGTTGATGTCGGTGCAATTGAAGTGTTAGGCTCAGTGGGCATATTAATGCATGCAAAAACTAATTCATAAATCTTATTTCGTAAGAATGTTGTGATATCTTTCTTCTTCATTTTCTCCCTATGACTCATAGTTGGTTGAATTTTGTATGACTAAACCCAACATGTTCAATAATAGTTTGTATGTACCCTTCACTTGAATCAGCTCTGCCCACAAAACCTAAATGTTCAAATACATCAACACACAATCTTTGACTTGGAGTTCAAGCATGATCACTTATGACAACATCCTCTCTGAACATTTAATCCAACTTCTCTTTAAAAGTATGGATCAATGCCGTCAAATTTTAAATTTTTTTTATGTTTGGCCTAACCTATAAGTGCAACAAAATAAGAAATATTAATCTATAGCTTTGCTTAGTATAATAACGTCCGTCTAACTTAAAAACATAATTTCACCTCTAATATTTCTTTCCATCATTGTTTTGATACAACAATAGTATGCTTTTTGTGATCTCGACCAAGACCACTATCTCTCAACTTTAATTCTTTCCATAATTTTCAATAAATGATTTCACTTATTATTTAGCTGCATCCCATTGTACTCATGTCCAGTCTTTTCCTTAAAATTATTAATGATGTTCTACCTCCCATTTTTATTGAAAATTGTCATGGGCCTATCACCCAACTCAACTTCTTTTAAACATATGTCACGAGATATCATCTTTATATATCTTTCTCACATTGTAGATAAACCATTCAATATTGTAGTACCCATTTGAAAAATTAATTTTAATGTCAACAAAATAAAAATAACTTACAATGCATAAACACAATAACATAAAATGATGTAGCATATTTGTTGATTACTCGTTAAACTTATTTGAAATGAATTAACATATGCATTGATTAATACCACACAAAGACATCAACAACTAAATAAAATAATTTAGCAATTTTGTCATCCATTAAAGCTAAACATTGTAGGATGCAACCCTAAGTCACACTAACAACATCAAACCACACACCTAAAGCACCATAACATGAAGATGTGAAATTCAGTGGTCTATGCCAAAAATTGCGTCACTACAATGCCACCACAACCTAACACCATTGCATCGCAAACAAAGAACACCGAATCCAGAAACCAAAATTATTTCACTTCCCCACAATCCTGACAGAGAACACCAACCATAAGAAAAACAATAGCAACCACATAATGCATAACTTCTCCCAAAAAATTAAACAAACGTTAAGCGAGAACAAAAAAATCATAAACCACTATTATTTCACTTCTCCACACTCCCAAAAGAGAACACCGACCCTAGAAAACCAACAATACAAACCACAAAAGCATTACTTCTTTCAATGAAGAAACTAACATCGATAAAGAGCACCAAATTCATACAAATACAGAGAAACACAAAGCAGATAAGCCATCATAGAAAGCCGCATATGAATGTCCATAGAGAGCTTCGAACCGATGAAGGATGCATGAAAAATTTTAAAACAAAGAGCTTCAAACCATCATTGGCAAAAATGCAAAAACCTAAATGAAAAATCTCACAATGGAAAGCCACATATGCACGTCATATTAAAAAATCATAGAAACCAACCCAAAATCAATCAGAGTAAAGAGGGGAGTTCGAACATTAAATATACCTCAAGATTGATCGGAACTGCCATATAAGAATAGTGATGATCGAATATATGAATGTGTAAATGCAGACAAAGTCGGAGAAAAGAGCTCGCAAATTAAGGCAGAGAAGAACTTTGAGCTTCATTTGATAGGACACAACGCAATGAGGGCAGTGAGGGAGGGAGGGGTAAACATAGTAATATCCTTTTTGAAGAAATATGGACTGTGGGTCTTAACCATTGGTGAGATTATAAGAAAAACATGCGCACATTTAATGAAATGTTCTGCGATTGCTTTATTTAAATGCCTTAAACAACGGTGCTAAGATGCGTTGATGCGGCGCCGCCGTCTCAAATATATACTATATGCGGTGGCTATCATAAAGTAATAATTTGACTTGTCAAAATAAAAGAAAAAAAATATAATAATCAGTATAATTTTTTGAATATATTTTTGTATGATTATTTCTTCAAAAAACTCTAAATTTTCCAAAATTTGGTGAGGGCTTCGCACGTGCGCTTTAATTAGTGTGAGTCGGCGATATTTCATATCATTCCCCCGAGCGATTCGCTGCTATCGACGATGTAATGGGAGAGGAAGGCAAAGAAGGAGATGTCGGGGAGGGGAAGCGCAGGCCAATCTCGGTGGCTGAATTCCAAGCGTGGAAGAGCCGAAAGGTGCGCAATTTATTTTCCTCAACTCCGCTCTTCTCTCTTTATATAATTTCTTATTACTTTTCTTTTTGGGATTTAGGAATGCTTTATGAAGGAGAATGAAAGTGCACATATACTTACTTTGTTAGGTTTAGCAATGATGGAATCTCTGGTAAATATTTTGTTCGTTTAAACGATTCTTCTTCTGGTTCTAGTGACTTCAAGCACGCGATCTGTTGTTTTAAAGCTAGACGGAAGCTTGGCTAGAGCAAAAGCGAACGTTCATTTTATTTCTTCTTGAATTTCATTCTCTATCTTTGAGTTCATTTCTCTGATTATCTTGTTAGCCAATCGTAAGCAACGAGTGCAGTGGCCAACTTTGCCATGGATTTCTAGGTTATTGGAATCAATTTAACTTTTGTAATTTCATTATTATTATTATTTTGTAATTTGGTTTCATGTGCAATTTGACGAAAAAGACTGCCTTTTGACATACTACTTTTGTAAATTTCATGATGGTGGTTGCATCTCGGGGTATCAGAGTCAGACAATAAATATCTCCGTCGCCATTATCATATGGCAGCCTTTAAAGAATTAAACTAGTCCATGCGATCTTAGGATCCAAACAACTTAGTTTATTCTCAGTGAAATATCAATGCAATTACTTTGCGCTAATCTCCAGCATCTGTACTTTTCTATTACCAGGTAGATGATAATCGTGCCACCCTGCTTATGTGAGCACAATACTTTATATCAACATGATTAAGCTTATCCTAACTTTATTGGTTTGCCTTAAAGAGTCTTCTTTCTCCTTCTACTTCTACTGAGTACTACACGAGGTGGAAATTGTGTTTTGTGCAAATCTTTAAAATCATTTTCTAGCTTACTTATTTGTTATTTTTCATTTTTCCTTGCTAGTTCTTCCACATTAGTTCTCTGTCACCCAATTTGTGTGTTTTATCTTCTTTTAGTGTGCCGAAACTTTTAAGTCTTTTTTTTTAGACTACCATATATTCGATGCATGATACTCATACAATCATTTTTTTCCTAGAGATAGCGTAGATGTACTCTAGCTCCAAAAGATCAGTGTTGGTGGAATTTTATTCTTCAATGTCTCCTTTTTATACCACTCAATCCTCCTTCATCAACACCGCCCTGTGCAACCTTTTGATCTCTTTAATTACTGATGATTTTGTCTGTTGATCCGCTCTCTCTGATCATTGAAACCTAAAGAAAACAGAAACTTCTAAAAATAGGGTGCATGTCAATGCCAAGGGCCATGCGAAGGTTCACAATATTTGGCCAATTTTACCTAAAGGTAAATTTTGCAAACTTGCTGTGCGTTGGTCATGGGAGTTTGGCTTTTAATGGGAATGGATGTCAAGGCATCACAAAGAAATTCTCATTGATGTTCTTACGGTTCTTGGTATTAGAGTGGGTGCTATGGATATCAGAGAAGGTTGTAAAGGCCTAAGACAAGTGAGTAGGATAAATAGAAGATTGCTTTCAGATAAATTTGATATGAGGCGACGAGGACAGAGCAGCAGAAGCTATGCAAATAAAAATTATAATATCGCGTTTGGGTTCATAGGATTTGATGAATATAATGATGGGGTGTCATTTAAGGAAAGAGGAATACGATGGGAAATAGGGATTATAGGCAATGAGGTCATTTGGAACTGTGCGCAAGACAGCATACAAAGATTAGGAGTATTCGGGTGAGTATCAGGTTATTATCACTTACAGAAATAATTTGGACAAAACCCCATGGGAAGCAAAATTTCCTTGGGGATTTCTAAGTAAATTTATACTTGTGGATGCTGCAATGAATTTATCATAAAATAAATGGATGGAGAGAGAGCTGGTTGGGCATAATAAAGGAGATCCATTTATGAAGAAAGGGGAAAGTATAGGGAGGGAAGATTTCTAGTGTTGGTGTGGAATTAAAAGAAGCTCATTCTCTTAAGGGTTGATGTCATGATGAATCTATTAAAATTAATTCATTTAATGGGCATAAATGAATGATCTTGATAGATAAATGTTTGATGGATAAGGTTCTTTGAAAATTCTATAAGAAAAATCTTATATTGGCCTATATCTACTTCTCTTTAACTATTTGTGTGCTCTGGATAAATCAATTGTAAAATTGAGGTTCACCGTAGCATTTTGTGTTATTCATTCTTCCTTGTGTCAGTCCATTAATAATTTCCTATAGTTGGTAATTTTTATAATCTAACACTATAAATATGTACATTTTCTATAGGATGAAGCAATGCAGTAAGATTCAAATTGTTCACATGTATTTCTTGTCTCCAAGTTGTTCACATGGCATTCAAGCCTTGATTCTATGTCATTCTTTATTTCTCTTACAATCTCTTATTATTTTGCTCAGCAAAGATCCCTATATGTGGAACTCCATGGGACTCATTTTGGCTCTCTCGTGTTCAAGCTCTCTGTTGTGCTCTTCCTCACCAACCTCGAGATTTTGTACAAATTCTTTTTGATATTGTGATCGTGATTTCATGCCGGTGTTTCACAAGAGCTTGCTTCAAATTTGTGATCTTGCTTTTCGCCGATCCCTTCGCACCAACATAACGTGTCACTTTTTTTCGCCCGAATCTACCTGTATGCGGTTGAACATCATTGCTTTGTGATCCACTTCATTTCACTATGATCACGATTCAATCATCTTGCTGATTGAAATTTGATTTACTCTCAATCTTAACTAGGGTTAAATAAAAAGTGACCTCTGATAAAAACTTCAACACTATCTATAATTAAAAACTAATGATTCATGGCCACATTAGCATATATGAAAGTTTTTCTTTTAATCTATCGCTCGTATGACAAAATAGAATGGGCAAAATTATCTCTGGCGGGGACTAGTCAGTTATGATGTTAATAAGTGGAAAAGACAAGAATGATCATCTCTTTAGCGCAGCTATTTGAATATATTGATTTTAAAAAATACTGGCTTATTGACATCATGGAAAATGAAATGGGCAAACAATGCCATGTTTTATAGCATAACAAAAGAGATTTTGGAAAAAAAAGAGTTTTTGTTTTTTTAAAAAAAAAAAAAAAAAAAAAAAAAACTCAAATTGGATAATAAAAATACTGCCGAATTACTCAAAATCAAATTTGTTATTCAAGATCTTCAACAAGGTGATCTTTTAATTACTCATTATTATGACACTCTTAATACGCATGGGCATCAATTGAATGACTTCAAATAACTTGATTGTGGGAGTCCTTGGTATGCAACCAAGTATTAAAAAATGTTTGAAAAAATTAAAGAAGGATTGTCAAGTTCCTTCCCAAACTATGTAAAAATTTTGATGAAGATTGAGGAAGGATATTTGGTAAAAAAAACCTCCTATCTATTCAAGAAGAGCTTTCTGAAGCCTGGACATAAGCGAGTTGAAAAAAAAGATTATGATGGGAGACAAAGGCACCCCAACCACTGATAAAAATTTTAATCACTTCTCAAAGTGTGTTTAAATACGAAAAGGCACCACTGTGATTATTGCTAAGAATTCAAATACAAACGGGGAGCCTATTGATTAGAAATCGAGGAAGCAAGGTCAGGGGGCTTCTTGGTAACCAAAAATAATTTTCGAAGCCACCGGTTGTTTCCACATTCTCATTCTTCAAGCAAGTGCAAATAGAGATGTTAAAGGACGTGTTTAACCTATATATGTCAATAGTGCAAAATGACGCACCCTCGATGTCATTTGCATGGCGCGGCTTGGCACACATAAATGATGCGCACTATTTATGCAATATATGGGCAATGACACTTTGTAAATTGCCCCTATGACGTTTACAAAATTGATTTTTAAGATTTCATATTAAAAAAATAAAAGGGGAGTTATGTACATATAATGAAATATTTATGTATTTATATATCTAACACCTAAAATTTAATTTTTATTTATATAACACTTAGAATTAACTTTACATTAACAATATAACTAATGTTAATTTTTTAAAAGTGAAATATATCTTTTCATGCGCCTGCTTTGATGTGATTATGATGCAAAGTGTTATATGTGTAAATATTAAGCTTGAAGCATTGAGTATGCAAATATGTAAGAGTCGTGTGTTATGTATGTAAATTCCACAAAATTATTATTATATATTTATTTATATATATATATGTATGTTTGTATATATAATCACCTCTCACAATATAATGACGGACCGTTGTGTCGTTCGCTCGCTCGTGAGCTAAAAGATTATATTTTAGGACATCATGATGTTAATGAAGAAATGATTTTTTTTTCTTTAATTTATGATTGTGATGATGATTCTTTGGAGATTGGTTTAATCTCTTGTGAAAACATTAGCCTTAAAAAATATAATATTTTAAATTCAAAGTACTTGCGGTGCTGAACACTTGAATTTAAGTTTTTTTTTATTAATGTTATTATTATGATATTTTATCTTTTAATTTAATAGTCTTTCATATTTATCTGTGTTTTTTCATATAATTTTATTATAGTTTGCATCATGTTAAAATGGCATTTGCGTCATGCTTAATGCACTATGACTCTATGGAGCTCTTTGCATTATGGTGCACATTTGCCATTGACTAGTATGATTCAACCAAATCCAAACCAACCCAGTTATATTTGATATCAACATCAGATCATCTAGTCTAAAAGGTGTGGCTGTGAATGCATTTAATTTAATAGATTAACACGCCCCAATCATGTATTATGGACTCAGGGCATTAGATCCATGACCAAATATTATCTCTATTTAACAAGATATATCTTTTGTTCTAAGGAACAATCAGTAAAGATTGCGTTTGAGTCATTGTTTGGAGTTGTAGTTGTTAGGAAGAGTCAACATCCATATCCCTAAATTTAGTGCATAAACTTGCTTGTGATCTCTTATCAATCAGCAAACTTATCAGCGATATGAATTTTGTTATTAAAATTTTTCCTATTGGAAGAAATGGGAAGAAACTATATTCTCTTATTTCTCACTTTTCAAACTACAACATTTCTCTTTATTATATGGCGATGACTAGGGCAAACATAATCAAGACTATTACAACTTACCAAAAAAACAGAACAAATATAAAAGGAAAGACATACAATATAATAAGAAAATAATAAAAGAGAATAAAATTGAAATATGAAACTCTCAAAATTCCACTCCCTC